GACCAGGAAGAGGCTGCTGTGAGCAACAGCATCAGAAGAGGTTCCACGTGCAAGTGAGAGGGAGCATAACTTGGAAGGGCAGCAAGATGGAGATAAGACACTCTGAGTAGTGAGACATCATTCTGCCCATCCAGGAGAACAGCAACTTCAGACTCTTACAGCTCTTCAAAGTAAATAGTGCCAGGATACTCGAGACTATCTATTCTTGACTTTTAATTATTGCCAATTCTCCGTGTACAAAGTCAAGATGGATTTGCCTAGAGGAAAGGGTGAAAGTAATATACAGAGGATCTACTTTAGCTGACAGCATTCAATCCTTAGTTATTCTGTGGCCCAGATAATAAAATGTGGGTGCTCATATCCCTGGCCACGGGCCAGAGAAAAATTTCTTGAAGGCTCAGGTTGACCACAGGCCTTGCTGACTACATAGAATGTGTGGAAATGTTTTGCCTTTCTTAAATAGTCCTTCATCTACAGACACTGGAAAAAGGGACAGGATAATACAGTTTTCCCACTGTTGCAAAATAAACTTTTGTTTGAAGGTCCAGTATAACTGAGGGTCTACACTCTCATGCACTTGTGATACCTGCAAACATAGTTGCATTACATGGTAGGACTCATTCCACCTGGCACATTTTAGACCCTAGCACTCTATGGTTTACCATGAACTTGCTGGTCACATAAAGACACAGAAATTGAATGGTTAATAAATAAGTTAAAATAATAAAATCTAAGGGACACTTTGATATTTAGATGTTTGAAGTAGCTAACCTGATTCCTCATGTGTTCTTTTATAATCTTGACTTGAGTGAGAGTTATTAAGGGAAAGGTGAGTCTCAAGTACTGTCCTTCTTCAACTGTGGTATCAAAGACAAATTGGCATTTTGAGCTTCTGGCTGTTTTAAGCTCCTAAGAAGGCTTCCTCTCTATCTTGTGACTCAGCTTCAAAATTGCAGATATGTGCCTTTCCTCAGCCCCTCTGAAGCTGATTTCTCTTTTCCTATCTCAGCTTCTATATCCTTTGACTATAGCTAGCAGCCCCAGCTCACCAGCCTGCCTTGTTCAGGGCCATGGACTGAGCCCTGGGAAATGCCACTCCTGGAGCAGTGTTCTGAGGTGGAATCTGACCTAAGTTCACCTCCAGTCATGGCCTCTCCCACTTCCTCACAAGAACAGAAGCAGTTGAGGATAAAAATTTACCTCAGACAGAAACATGATTCAGATAGACTTGAATATAAAACCAGAGAGCTGAGAAATTCAGATCCTGACAGAAAATTATTTCCAGATTTACCATGCTATGGTGACAAAGAGAATTGCTTTCCTGAAGATAGAGAACAATGGCAGAAGACAGTTTAAGTAAAAGGAGAAATCTTAGTACTGTGAGGAGAAAGGGAAGTTGAATTGGCCTTGATGGGAAAATATGGACGTACATAAACTTTGCCCACTCTTGTCATTTTTTTGTTTTCTGCCTCAACATAGAGAAGCAGGAAACATCTCTGCTCTTTCCCTGCCATTGGTTTCCTGCCTGCCTCATAATCTCCTTGCTGCCTGAACTATGGCTTGACTCTGATGCACTCTCCAAGTTCTTTCACACATCATTCCCTACTTCAGGCACTCCTTGGGCAGCAGCCAACTAATCATCTCTTACTTCCCATATTGTGATCTGGAGATTTCTAAGCAAACTTGGTAAGAGAGAAAGCTTGTGAGGCCTCCTCAAAGAGAAATTTTGCCTCAATAACATAGGCAGAAGCCAAGTACAGAGCATTTTCCTTGGAGAGACACATCTGCTTCTCTCTCTCTCTCTCTCTCTTCCTTCTTTCATTCTTTCCCTCCTACCCCTTCCTTCCCTTCCTCTCTGTCCTGCCCTCCCTCATTTCCTTCTTTCCTTCCTTCATTTTTTTTGGGCTATTGCGCAGAGCTATATCCCTAGCACTTTTTTTTTACTTTTTATTTTCAGGCAATGTCTCTCTAAGTTACTAATATTCCCAGGCTGGGCTTGAACTTCCAATTCTCCTGTCTCAGTCTCCCAAAGTGCAGGGATTACAGGTATGTGTATCACGTCCAAGATATACTTTATTTTTTATGTTTCACAAATTCTCATTTCCACAGCTGACCATCTCATTCTCAAAGCTACCATCTTTGTGTCTATTCCTCACTCTTATGTATCCAGAACAGTCACTCTTACTGCTCTCATAGTATCAACAGAGGAAAAAGTGCAGAGCTATTGTGGCCCTTTAGAAAGAAAAGGATCTAAGGCCAGGATTATATGATTCATTTAAACGTGATAAAGAGCAGAAAAGATGTGTGAGTCTTATGTGAGGAGATTCTCTTAAAAACAGCACTTTCAAAAAAATAAAAATAAAAAAAGGACAGCAAGGAACAAACTAAGAAAATGAAAGAATTGAAGTGAAAAGTTGCAGAATACTAAAGGTGAATGTGGAAAGGGAGGATTTTAGCTAGTTGAAATTTACTTAAATCCTTTAGTGCTGGAAGTATTTTGGATGATTCAGAGTTTAGTAAAATACTGCTTCCATCTCACAGGACTCATATTCTATAGGATAAAAATGTGTTAGATGCTATAATCTAGGACAAAATGAAGAACCACAAATTCAATATCCAAAAGGTGGATTCAGAAAACAGGGCAGGGAGATGAATTTTATCACCTGGGAAAGTCTTACTAGAAGCTGCAGTTTGACCTGGATGGTGGACAATTAGAGCTATAATATATGAAGATGAAATGGAAAAAGACAGAAAGAGCTTTCCAGGTGGGTAATACAGCACGAGAGATGTAAAGGAGATGTGGCAGGGTCAAGTAACTGTCCTGTATGTGTCTCATTCATCCATTCATTTAACAAACATGCCTCAGAGGAGCCTGCAAGAAGCACAGGAGAAAGAAAATGAATCTAGCTTGTTCTCTACACCAGGTTCATCCACCCTTCTTCAAATCAGGGTGTGTGCAGATGGCTGAACATAAATTCCACAGGATCATTTAATACCAAACCAAAAATAAAACCTGAGCTGTTTTATACTTTCTTACAGAGATGTCTCATTCTCTGAAGTGAGAAATGGCATTGCCAAACATGCATCCTGAGAAAGTAACTAAGGAAAAAATATAAAGTCTAAAAGATCTTGAAAAACTTTCATGATCCTGTTTAGGGAACAGGAGAAAGACCAGTGTTATTAAATTTATAGAGCCCAAATAGCCAGAAACTATGGAAAATTAATTAATTTTAATTAATTAATTATAATACCTATTATAACACTGGACTATTTTATCATTAGTTTTCCTCCTTTTAGGGACACAGGCAAATAGAATGGCCTTTCCCACATTGTGTCTTCATATTGTGTGACCTTAATACCCAATGGCACATACCTGTGGAGACAAGAAACAATTCCTGCCTTAATATACCAGTTATACCATCAACTCCATGCTGAGACTGGATTTCAGATGGTCAAGTCATGGCCAGTGAGCAAGAGATACTGAGCAGGCAATGAAACTTACCAATGAGTCTCTGAGGTCAGGACAATGAGAATAGGGGGGATTCAGGAATTCTCAGGGTGATGAGGTCACTAAACTTCTGTCAGGTTCCAAAATAACCTTCTAAGTATCCTCGGAACACACTGTCCTTTTCTCTATACCTCTGGCTAGAATTGCTGATCTAAACATTTTTGGCTTTAACATAAGGTCTACTTTCCCAGCAAATTTTGAGAATACAATACAATATTATCAATTACAGGTTCTATGCAATATGTATAGTAGAGCTCTAGAACTTATTTATTTTATATAACTGAAACTTTGCACCCTTTGACTAATTCCCCATTTCCCCTTCCCTCCGGCCTCTGACAACCATCATAAGAGGAGAGATGTTACATTAGATATTTTTATCACAAAATTAATAATAATATTTAACTTTAAAATAGGACATTTTTGGAGGACATAGATTATGGCATAGACTGTGGTCATAGTTTCATAGATGCACATTTACTTCCAAGCTCAAGTTGGTATATATTAAATATATACAGCATTTTGCATGTCAATCATACCTCAATAAAATAGTTTAAGAAAAGGTAAATTATGAATACTAGTAGATTTACAGTGTAGCTGTTGCATTCTAACTCTTTGTCCACCAAAGATGAGTGTACTTTCATTTTTTATATTATAATAATCATATGTTTTCCTTTTATGGCATTCTGAGTATTCACCTTAGTCCTTACTCCAGAAGTTATTTTTGTTTTCCATTGGCACTATTTAAAAAATCTTAGCTCTAGCTTTTCTATTTCCTCCAAAAATCCTGATATTTGCAGCCTATCCATCCTGTCTTTGAACATATATGTTTCCCTTAGGTGGCCCATTTGATTAAAGCCAGGAAATTATTGCTTTAATCTTGGGCCAGACACAAATTGGTAAAGGGAGAAGGCAAGTTATTTAAACACACTGTGGTATAATTTTTCTAGCAATAAAGTAAGGAATAGCTCTTGACTCACAAGGGTGCTGTGAAGGTTATGTAGAAAATGCTTAGCAAATGCAGTGCATTTGAAGAAATAATAATAGTAATAACAATAATAATAATCATAAATAATCATAGTACACTAATGATAGAGGAAATTAAATTTCAGGCTCTTTCTTCCAAGAGTGAACACACCCAATTTCTGCCCACCAGTCTGCTTCACCTAAGAATGATAAAAATCTCTTCCTCCTTTCATACCATCAGAAAAAGATATTTAATTAGCACCTGTTTGATTGCTGTAGACACTGGAGATATTACAGCTGTTAAGGTCATTAGGAAGAGATTATATAATGATAAGTTCTATATACTCATGACTGTTGCTTTTGTTATAAAATGAGTTATTTTATATGTTAGAAAGTAAAAGTATTAACTTTGAGCTTTTTCAAATATGTTTTTTTTATTTGAAAACCATTACAAAAGAAATCCTCATTTTGTTCATACCAATTATAGGAGAACAAACCTTTATCTTTGCCATCTTCTTTATCCAGCCTGACAGGAAAAGGATGCAGGAAAGGGAAAGAGGAAGTGACGAGTTGAGTGCCAGCCTTCTCCTGGGTGCTTTTATACCCAGAATCTTTCATATGTCTCTCATGTCTTTGCTCACAATGTGATGGATCTTGTGATAATTTCCTCTGCTGAGTTCCATGGTGGATCAATTACAGTATGTGATTCTTTCTTGTACTGTAATATAAAAATGTATCTTGACATGAATCAATTTCCCACTGAATCTAGTGGAGGAAGGATTTCATCATGTAAACCACAACAGATGCATATTCCCTAGTGGGTTCTGGGCTGCAGCTTCCTAGAATCCAGGCTACAGGCAAGGCACAAAAACTGGAATTTTACCTGTTTTACTCTGTAAAACTTTACTCTGTTTTTACTCTTCCAGGGCCTTCATCCCTTGGTCCCTCTCTCTTCACCTGTGGGTCTGCAGGTGTTCTACTCCACTGGACCAGAGCTTCACTGCACTGTCAATTCTAGGATAGAACAGATTCCATATTTTCACTATCATAAACCATATGGAAAGGAATATCTCAAGCATCCAAATTAGAAACTATTTTCATCTCTAATGCAGTTTCAGTGTATAGGATCTAGTGGTGTCACTACAGGAGGTCTGTGAGAAAAACTGTTTTCCTTAAATATAGTTTCCAGTAATCATTGTGTAAATTACTAGTTTGATATTCAGTGACCATTAATTTAGGGTAGATCCAGGAAATGGATTACAACATTTTCTTGTTGTTGTTCTAAGACTGTCCACCATATTATTTCAACTAACCAGAGTCTGTCAGGGGTCATGAGGAAGTTCTTCATTCTTTCATCTTTTAAAAATTATTTAATATTCTCTATAGGTCAGACACTGTTCTAGCATTTTTGAATAATACCACTAATAACAAGATAATAAGTTCCTGGCTTTGTGGAATTTCCCTACTAATAGAAAAAGACATAAAAGAAATAAGAAAACAAATAGCCAAGATAATTTCAGATGCTTGTAAGTATTGTAAAAATTATGTATGTATGAAGTAAGTGGAGTAACTATAGGAGGCTAATCTCAGTGAATCTGATCTGTGGTGCTAATATTCCAAAAGGAACTAGCAAAGCAAAGAACCTGAGGAAGAAATTTCCAAGCAGAAAAAACTATGAATGCTAAGGCCCTGAGAAAAGAACAAGCTTGTTCAAAACCCAAAGAAAAAAATGAGCAACATACAAATAATGTCTGGAAGGCAGGTAGGAAACAGATCAAAAGGGCCTTGTAAACCTTAATAAGGTGCATGAATTTTATTTGAAGGGGACTGTAAAATACCTGGAGACTTTTTAAGCAAAGACACTTAATATAATTTACTGTTGAAAAGTCACTGTAGTTGCTCTATGCAAAGTCGTCTGCAGTGCCGCAAGAGTGATGGAAAATAGAAAAACTGATGATAGTCCAGCAGGTCTTGGGGGCAGTGTGGCATAGGCTGGTAGCAGTCAAGATGGAATGTAATGGGATAAGTTAGGATAGAGGTGATGGGATCCACAAGTAGGTTAGATGGTAGGAGTGAGAGGAAAGAAAGAATTTGAGCTTACTGATAAATAACTTCCTATTGTATCCATTCTAGACCTGTAGGACAAGGTCCTAGTCATTGTTTTCTAATAATGAAGCAAAAGAATCAGTAAATAGATAAAAGAATGAGGAAATTTACTTTCTCCCAGTAAGGGTATCTTTCCTCTCTTAGTCAATTGCACTGACAAATGATATAAAAGTCAAGTTACTTTCCTCCTGTGGAGGCACAAGGTAGGGTGTACATCTTGCTCACCTGGGAAATCTCAAGTCTGGATTGTTCCTACCAATGGGGAAGGTGTAGAGCCTCAGAAAATTATGTTCTTTCTCACTACAGACTTCTTCACAACTCTCCAGACAAGAACTGTCCTCTCTGTGTCTTCGGTACTGTTTAAGCTCTTGTTTGGAGGTAAAGGCAACACAGAGCCAGCAGCAGTCATTATTGTGCTGAAACAGTGTATACAAAGCATCTGGTACAAGCCAGGCTCATAACTGGTATGTAAGAAGTAGGAAGGTGTTTTGTTTTGTTTTGTTTTGTGTTGGTACAGGGATCGAACTTGGGACCTTGCACTTTCGAGGCAGGTGGCGGAACCACTGAGCTAAATCCCTGGCCCCTAGGAAGTATTATTATTCAAGAAATAATTATCACCACCTTCAAAGGATTCACTATACTGCTCTGATTTTCGTATTTCCTTGACACTTTTTCCTAGAACCTTCTACTGAAAAGAATTTTTTTTTTTTGCATGACAAATATGATTCAAAAGGTAGCCCAGGTCCCTTCCCAAATCAGCAGCCCCAGTGAATCTGGCGGTCCAAGGATGGCCCATCCTCTTGGTTGGCTCCTCCCCTTTTCCTTAGCATCTTTAGGAGGGACCACTCACAGCGCAACAGGCCATCAGCCCCATCCGAACCCCAAGAATCAGCTCAAGCCATCTCCAGGCCCTGATGCTCATCCAGACGTCAGAAACTCTCATTATGATTAACCAAAACAGCTGCTTGGTATTGCTAATTCAGATGAACAGTGGGCTCAACTCTACCATTCTAACATGTATTAATTAGCTCAGCCTAAAATGGTGCAGCAGAGGAAGACAAATGTCCTGTGTCCATGCTCCTCACAGAAGAGGAGAGACCAGTGGCATACAAAGAGGGACATCTTGAACAGACTTGTCCCCTTCCTCACAATGGAGTTTATTAAGTCATCCACCTTCTGAAGGTAAGACTAGGATTCCTCCCTGTCAATCTTCATGAACACCAAAATAACTCACCATCTTTGCTTTGTTGGTTCACTGGCCTACATCACTTCATAACTAGTTTAGTCTCCTTCAACCAAAGGATGTGGCTAGCAAAAATTAGTAAATAAACTTTAGTCTTCATGAATGCTAGTGTGCTTAGAACAAAAGATGTACTGTTCCTACTCTACCCTGAGCTAGGAAGTCCATACCTGCACTTACCAACAGAGCTATGACCAGACATAAGGTAACAATGAAATATATCCTATGAGAAATTTAACCTGTTGGAATATTTAATCTATGAATGGAAGACTCAGAGAAATACCATAAACTGAAGTTGGAAGGCTATCATACAAGCAATGTCTTAGATTTCCTCTGTTCTTCCAGAGGGAGAAGACAGATTTCAGATCACATAAAAGGAAAAAAAAATTAGAACTGTGCTGAAATGAAATGGATATCATTATAAACATTGAGTCTCCAATTATTTCTTGGCATCTATACAGTTTATTGTAAAAATATACTTTATAGCGTCCAAATTTATAAGATTTTAATCTCTTACGTGATGATATTCTGCTCTTATCTCTAAACTGATTTAAAATTTTTCCTTTTTAAAGTGTGCCCTTATCTCACATTTGATTGTACAGGTTGTTATCCTTATCAGTTGGTGTAATAAGATCCTTAAAAAGATCTTGTTATCTTCAAGAAGTAACCCAGTAGCAGTATAATGGGTATAACCAAATTCCTGCAGAGCTCTTGCTTACAGAAAGATGGTCTATACTTTTCTTTCTTTTTAGATGATCAGTAGCTACTCTGAAATTGCCGTGTAAACTCCTTGTAAAAGTAAGATCTACATTAAAATAAGGTCTGGTTAAAAAAAAAAAAGTAGACAAGGTAGTGTGGCCAGGCTATATAATACTAGAGGATTGGACACAAAACCAGACCATGACTCACTGTGCCACCTGTCCATGAGTACTCACCACATGTCAGACATTCTGCTCTGTGCCAGAGACAGAAGATGAGTGAGACGCTCACAATCTAGGAAAAGAAATGTAATTAAAAGTACAATGCAAAATGACACTAATTGTATTACCAGAATGCAATCCAAAAAAGGGATGTGATTAATTATGTCTTATGGTGAGGAGGAGGAGGAGCAGGTATGAAGAAGGCCTGCAGGAAGAAAGTGAAACTTGAGAAAGACTTTGAAATATGAACAAGTCAGGTAGAGAAATCTGGCCAAAGGGAACAGCAGTTTGAGAATCACTTAGACCAATATTTTCATAAACTAATAATTGGATCTGTACTTTTTTGACAAAATAAAATTTCATTTCCATTCAGCAATGCATGTAAGAGTACTGGTACTAATACATGAAGATTTGCCAAAATATTTTCAACAGGATACTCATCATAGTAGATTTTAAGAGCTATTACAGGAAAAGAAATTTTCTGGTAAAAGGAAATATTTGGTAAATACCAAATTTAACAAACTAAAACACCCCTTGTAAATATAGTGTCATCTAGTGTTGTTAACATGCTGATAGGTTGTGTGAATTATTAAGAAGAGAGAAGATGTAGTAGTTCCAAATATACTGGGTCATAAAAATCTTTTTTTCCACTGATCTTTCAGGAATAATGTTTTGAAGATCAGATTATTAAAATACTATGCAGCCAAACAAGTTACTCATTTATGATTTAAATTAACTTCACTTCTAGTCTCTTTGAGCCTCAATATGATCATCTGAAAAACAGATCTCCTAGTCTTTCCTTCCACTTTCCTCACATAAAAATCATAGCCATCATTTATTCTGTGACTACAAAAAAGGCCAGGGGCACTTCTCCTCACATGGGCAGCCTAGCTCCAAGTACATTAGTTTGCTAGCACTTCCATAACAAAGCATCACAAACTCAGTGGCTCAATGAATATCATTTAGTTTCTCATAGTCTGGAGGCTAGAATACTGAAACCAAGGTGTCAGTAGTGCTGGACTCTTCTATGGCTGCCTTCTCCTTCTGTCTTCACATGGTTCTCTTCTGTGTATGTCTGTGTTCTCTTCTTTTCCTACAAAGATACCAGTGATACTGGGTGAGAAGCCACCATCCTGTCTCCTTTAAACTCTATCACTTCCTTAAAGATCTTATCTCCAAATACAGTCAGGTGGAGAGGCCTGGGGCTGGGGAGTTAGGACTACAATATGGATGGAAGGGGCACAGCTCCGCCCACAGTTCTCTGCTTCTCAGTTTTGCAGAACTTCAAACTCAATACTTCCAGTTATTCAATGGAAACAGTACACAGTCCACCTAATCAAAGTTTCTAGTGCAGATGATGTAACACCTCTTTAGCATTTGCCAACTCCCAACTTTGCCATCATTTCATGGAGTGATTTGACTTTGCAGAAACATTTTCCATGGGTAATCAACCACTACCACAGTATATGGTAATTTTGTAAGGACAAGAACTGCTCCTCTCTTATTCACATTTGCATCTCTGTGTTTAGCATAGGACAAAATGAAGCTCAGTATTGGTTGAATAAAGTGGATACAGTTTTGTTTCTGCTTTACCAACCTTTTCTACATTTGATTAGGGTTGATCAGCTTTGAGTAACCACATAAGGGCAATTATGAAACTAGTAAGTAGGAAAATCTGCAAAAATAAAATTTAAACAAAGAAGAAATGAAAACCATCATTTTTTGGCTTTTGGGGGGGTCAAAGAGTAAAGACTGAATAAGTACATTTTTTGTGCATTTTCCACTATGATTGTCAACACTAAAATTTACATCTTCAGGTGCCTTTTTTGAACATTCAAGTTTATCTTTTAGGTTTGGAATGCTCACTAATGCTTTGATGCACTATGTCACTGTCCTCACTGGAAGGGCTTATATTAAGTGGACAGCTAGGGTGTCACAGGCAGAATATTTGCACAGTACATTAATTTAGAGAGGAAAGGATTTCTGTATAACTTAACCAGGCTGAACAGCTATTTCCACTTTACCTGAATAGAGTATTTTCATGTTTTATCACACTAGTTTGCAACTGCAAAAGCTCTTCACCCAGTTTTTAAGAGTAGCTATGAACTGTCAGGATACATTATTTGAAATGAAGCCTGACAGCTCCAGGCTTGAAAATAAAATACTGTTTATTGTTTAAAAGCATTTCTCCACCACATTACTTTCATCTCCCCCCAAATTCTGCTGCCCCTCATAATCACCCCTCACCTAGCTTGGAACAAGACATTCTGAATGTGTAATCCTCCTTCAATAACACTACAAGAAGGAAAATCCTAGTGATGGGGTTTTCTTTTCTTATTTCAGAAATGAATCATGGGAATGAGGACAGTTAGTTTTGTGGGTAGAAGAGGAACAGGTGCACAGGACATGGTAGGAGTGCAATGGAGTCAGAAGGAAAACATTCTGTCCTGTTGCTATCCTGAGGATTATTACTCCAACCTTGCCCGCAGCCTGCACTGCATGTATTACACCTTAGTGTCAGAGCCTCCTTAAAGCCTCCAGCTAGATGACTCATTGGAAGAGAGGTGACACAGTAAAGCCATTCTTCTTACAGCAAAATTATCTGGTCCCTGAAGCAATCTCTGCCTGGTCCCAAAAATGGGTGTTTCTGCCTATTGATAGAATATTATTTACCAGAAAACAATTTTTCTAGAATCTCTAAAATTATCTTGAAGTTTGTTTGAATCAATGTGCTATCCTTTAAGTATTCTGAACACTCATATTCTAGGGAACACCAAGAAGGGGTGAGGGGTCTTTTATGCTGGCCAATGAGCTCACTTCTCCTATCCGGATATTCATGGCCATCTTGTTCTTTCCAGTGTCACTGTGATTCAGAAGTGCAGGGTTCTATTCCAGCATACATTATAGAAAGAAAAGACTGGAAAAAATTATATCACAGATGAAAATCTTTTCTTGTTAATGATATTCTATAATGGAAGCCTAATCTCCCTTGTATATTATCATCTGGCAAACTAGTTACACATTTAATAAGGTTTTGCTGTTTCAATTATAAATGAAATAAACAATTCTGTCACCATGGTGTGCAATGAATACACCACATGTTATATGTAAATGTATTAGTCATTTGCCTTTTGTTTACGTGTCAGTGAAATCCATTTTCTTTATGGTGTATTTTCTGTTCCCTATGGGTTCCAACCAAAGTCGTTTCAACCATACACATATCGGCCTTTAAAGTGAAATTATGCTGTTATTGTCCTTTTCCTGCCCAGTTTTAATAACACCTGTTTTTGTGCCAGTTTCATTTACTGTTGCAAATTGCAATTCAACAGAGAACAACAACAAAAACTACAAAATACCCAACCACCCAAACAGCAAATATGACTCCAGAAAAGAGCTGTGTGATATATGGACACAATACAGAAAACATATTGAAACAATTTTTATTCTCATTATTTCCCCCCAAATTAAATATGCCCCATAAAGCAAGTTTACATATTCTGCGTGTCTCTCTCCACTCTCAACTAAACCCAAACCCTTGGCTTTTAATGAGATAATTTTTTTTAAAAATCAAATCAACCATTCAGGCTTTCAAGAGGTGGCATTTTTGTTTTAAAAAGGAAAGCATAAACACACGAAGGATGCAAATGTGGACTTTTTCAATAGCTCACCACAGTGTGACAGCTGTGGACAGGATCAAGACAAAAGCAGGTAACTGCTCCAAGAAAATGATGGCTTAGGCATTTCCAGCCCAATCAGTAATCTGGCATGTTGAGGTCAATCACTGCATGGCCATATTCACTGTGAGCCAGTCAAAGATCATTAGTTTGCCACCCAGAGGCTATTTTTTCTGTTATG